CTGGAGGCATTCCGTCCTTATGACATTTCTTAAGGTTTTTTCCTTTTAAAATACATAAGGGGGGTAGAAAAACACCTTCTGCACTGCAACATGCTACAATAGAAATGGTTTCCCCCTTTTCGCCAGAAGTTATGTTGGATACAGTTTTAGACCCTTTTTCCGCTATAACATACCCAGGTTTATTATTTAACTGTAGGCCACTTTCATCAATATTAAAATATTTCCTGGCTTCTCAAATAATTGATATTCGGTTAAAACATTTTCAAGAACAGAAAAATACTCTTCCACTACGGTTTTATTCACTCCTACAGCACGCGCATTTGATACTCCTTCTGCCTTTCTAACTGATAAATCTGCATGCCTTGATAAGAATAACTGCAACCAATCATACCAGGCTTTTTTCTTTATTTTATTAAAGTTGTGCTTAATTTTAAGTTTCTCAGCAAGTTCAAAAGCCATGCTTCTTACCAGATCACGATTTGGAGTAAAACCATACTTCTGCATTTTTTTAATGTGGGAAACTAACTTCAGTTCAGCTTCTTCATTAAGGCAGGACTGCTTTCCCAATGAACGTGACTTTGATGACTTTTGTAATTTTATTCTGTTTTTAAGCGTAGTTTTAGGTATTCCATATTCCCTTGCAGCTTGATTAACACCTAATGAACCCGTGGAAACAGCATTCATTGCATTTTGAAGGGCCTCTGCGCTCCAAGTAGCTCTATTGACTGTGCCTTTCCTTTTATAAAAAGTCGGCATTATGACTATCTGAAACAAAACAATGGTCTAACTAACTCCAAAATTACGGTCCAACTAACCCATTTACATGGGTTAGATGGACCACCTAGTCAATACGGCCTAGTACTATTCAGCGATAAAAATATTAGGTTAAACTGTACTTTGTTAAGGTAGCAACAATCTACTATACAATCGGCAAAAAAATACTTACATATATTTTTTTACAGCATGTAATACTAAACTTTAGAATTTTTTTTATTACTAACATGTGCACACTAACTAAGCTTCTGTGTGACTGAACGCCGCCAGACAAACAAAAACAATATTTTAATATTTGGATTCGTCCAACGGAGGGGTGCCCGGGTGTAGATGTATAAAAAATTAAATAACACGTAGAATTTTGGCACTGGTCGATCTAACCCGATGGTCCAACTACCCCGGAATTACCCTATTTGAATATTATTGAAAGTGAATATTAAACATTATTTACACTTCAAAAATGTAGTTTCAAAATAACAGCTACCTCGAATAGTGAAAAATATTTTTTTAAATTTATTTAATAATTAGGTATATCTCTTTTAATAGGATGTCTAGGATCCTAGCATTGACAAAGAAGAAAGACATCCTAACTTGCTACAGCATTGGCAAAGTGCATTTCCCCAGACAAAATACTTCACAGTAGTGATGTGTTTTATGCACTTATTTAGACAAAATTAGTTGACGGAACTGTCAGTAGATAAGGGTAGATAATTTATTTTACTATTAGTAGATAATTTCTTTATTGTGTATGCAGGTGTATATTACATTTATTAAATTTAGCTACTTGGAGTTAGTCAATTAATCAAAATAAAAGTTATGTATTTATATTCCTAAATAAATAAATCTAATGTTTCAATGCTTTCCTGTAAGCCTATTTTTTAATGTAGTTTTTAGAGAAGGTTTTTTACCACGTTGAGTAAGTTCTTTCTACTTGATGACTTTTATAGCCATAGCCTTTTTCCTTTAACATGTATTTCCATTTCAGTGTCCTAAGGATGGAATAAATAAAGATTGACCATTAACAAAATGTATTAATTGTAGTCCAAACCCCACTAGTTCCTAGATTTTCTTTCTCACTAGTCAGTCGATACTACTCATAGAATGTTTACACTAGGAATACATACAATATGATCGAAAATACGGCGTCAGCGATCATTTTATATATAAAATTATGTGGGGAATGTCATAGATGTTCATTTCCCAGCCAACTGGACGCCGTTTTTTTCGATCATACGTTAGTCCTTGACTTATTATTTTATTTACAAACCTACCTCATACTCGTATTAATAAAAAAGTAGATATCAACAGAAGGAACTTTAATTACAGATCAAATCAAATGTATACATATGTATTTATAACACAATTGTTAGGTGACATTGAACATAATACATCTTCAAATTAAATGTCTGTGAATCATAATTGGCAAAACTTTGCTAATGACATCAGAGATGACATTAAAACTTACAATTTAGAATAGCTAAAAAAAAGTAAAAAGTTACGAGATACACAACACCAATCAAACAAGATAAGTGCAATGTTTATATTATATATTCCTGATTAATTTTCGTCATTCATTTGCTGTAATTCGTCATAAACCACTACTAGTTTAAAAGTTTTTAATGTTTATTATTAGTATCACAATGAACTGCACGTAAACATGTCCATTCCAAGTGTTTTCATGAAAAATTATGAAACTTTAAACTGCATCAGCAAAATTATTAATAAATCACTAACACACTCACATCATAAACTATTTAATTCACATTTCTCATCAAGAAACAATTACTGTTTACATCAAATCAAAGGTTGAACTGGTGATACGTTTGTTGCTGGAACTTCTATATTTTGTGTACACCAGTTGAAGGAAACATTTACTTTAGCAGCTTATATTTTTCTTCGGCCGTGTATGCACTAAATAGAACCCCATAATAAGACATTTTTATAATAAGAACTTAGGAAAAGAATATCTAAAACCGGCATCTGATATAACCTAACTAACTTTTCAAACTCAAATTTAAGGTTTTGTATTCACAATTTTAGCCACGCACATTGCCCAATTAGAAAAAAAACACGTTTCTAAAAGCTAACTCTGGTAAAAATATGCCCAAATATTAACTTGGCTCTATAATTTATAAAAAAATAGTTATTCTTGCCATAAGAAGCTGTGTATTACTAGTATCCCTATCATCACATGCGCCCCTAACGGCGATTTTCGAACTTCATTTAGATCATGAAATCTGGGCCCAAAATTTTTGCGTTCGATTCGCCTCCTCCTTTTAGACTCCATAGAATTGATACATGGTTGTCAGATCAGCTAGTAAATTATCCGGAATTTCATGCATCTTTTTTTAGGGGAAAAAAATGACGTCATAGGTTTTAAAATGTTTTTATCTTTTTTTAATACCAATTAGATTATTTTAGTTTAACAAATTGGCTAAATTAACGCCGCCGGCGAGAGGATTGCTAGTTATAGCCCTGGTTTGTGTTTGACTTGGGTTGGGTTGGTTTGGTATTGGTTGGTTTGGTATTGGTTAGTTTGGTATTGGTTGGTTTGGTATTAGTTGGTCGGGTTATTTTGGGTTAGTTTGTCTGGTTTTTTTTTCGAATTTATTTGTATGGCTTATCAAAATGAAAATAAAAAACAGAAAAAGAAAATTCAGTGGAACTGGCAACATTGCTTTTTTTTCTGTCGTTGTCATGTCTAATCAAGTGTTAAAATTCTCCATAACGTCAAATATATGTCAAAAACTACTAAAATTAAATTAAAATATGCCACGCGTTTCCTTTGAAGGAAATTGATTTAAAAAAAAAATGTTAAATTGTTAAATTTTAAAATTATTAAATTGACAAGAAAAATTATGAAATTAAAAATTTATAGAGAACCGAAAAAAAATAAATAAAAAAAAACGTCTTATTAAACTGTGGAGTGTGCGTGCAAATAGGCCCTAGCTCTGCCGAAGAGATGGGGTGGGTTTTAAGCGCCACTGGCTTTGCACAGATAAGCCAGAAAACCCCCCAAGATATTCTTGGAATCTAACAAGACTTGTTATTAAAAAATATTAGAAGGATAAAAAATTAAGGGATGAATGAAACACTAAGATAAATTAATAGAGTATTGTATAATGATATTAAATTAAAAAAAAAAATGAACCAAATTTGATGACGTTGTATATACTAAATTTAATTAAAAATTGAAAACTAAACCGTATGTATGTACCTTGAACTCTGGAACCTTGAATCAATATAAGATAAACAAAAAAGGTAAGTAAGAAAAGGGAAAACAAATAATAGGGGAAGATAAAATTTCAGTAAACGTTTACTTGTTTCTGCTTCAAACCTGATCCAGCGACGTAGTTGCCAAGCTCAGTGCTTCAGAAGGATACCACCTCCAGAGAGACGTACTGAAAAAGTCTGTCAGAAAAAGCAAGCCAGAAAAATGCTTCGTAGAAAAATCCTCGTATAAAAGAAAAATCCTGGTCCAAAAAAGTTCTGGTCTCAAAGCCTGGTGGAAAAAATCTGGTCTTAAAAGCCTGGTCCAAAAAAAGCCCTAAACCGAGAGCGGTATTAGGTTTTACGAAATAAAAAGAAAGTTACCTAGAAGGGATAGGATTGAAACAAAAGAAACACAGCTATAATTAATTAAATAATCAAACACGTTTCAACTGTAGAAATATAAAAAATATCATAAAAAAGTTACCTTGTTGGGCTTCACAAAAATCTAGTTTTTTTTCTAATAGATGGATGTTCAAATTGCTGGATTCAGAAAGCAGAAATTACTGGAACAGGTGGTGGTTTTAAGTTCCTCTTCCCAAGAAAATCGACGGTGACAGAAATAAATCAAAAGGCTTTCCCTGTTAAGAAATAATTTGAATAGTACAAATCACACTAGACAAAATGGCGATCAAAAAAACTTACCAGCCACGAGCAGATTAAAATCCCGTATAAAACGGCTCAGAGATACTTTTAAAAGGTAAGGTACAACTCAAACAGCAAAAGTATCTCTTTATAGTTCTAGTCAGTGATTATCCCCAACAAACGGGTAAAACAGGAAAATTCCAACAAATTACACTGACTAAAACACCTGCTTTGAAGCTGAAGGGAAAAATGCGAAACCTACATCGATCAGATAGAGTTCCGCTCCGAAGAAATTTGACTTATACTACAAAGTTGCAATTTAATATTCTGGGAATTTAGAAACATTGCCAAAATAAACATTACTTAGAATTAAAAGTAAATTCCAATAGCCATTCAAACACAAACATACCAAACCTTATGCCGGTGACGATGCATACACAATATTACGGAAAGGATGTCGATTATGCAATCAATAATTATCAGAAAATACAAACATCAGAACCTAAAGGAAGTACTGCCCAACCTGACAACAGCGTGTGTGCGCCGAATTCACGCATCTCAACTGATCTGAGCAATTCAAATATAAATGACATTATTAATAATAATTGTTAACCCTACAATTTGCAGAAAATAAACAAATGATAAATTTCAAAAAATATGCAGGTAAATAACTTCATTTTGAGCTCTATAATGAAATATAGGATCAAATAATATTTTTTAGAGACAATCCACACTTGATAGGAAATCTTCTAAGATAATACAAGGGCAAGCAGTACCGCAGAACTACTAGAAATTACGGCAAATAGGCTAACATTCAGAAACATAAACAAGTCCAGAAATTAAAGGTAATATTTTTGGTGAATTTGATTATATTAGCATTAGATAATAAATTTTAATTATATTTTAGATTACTGATTGATTACTGACTTGAGATATGGCATAGAAAGCAAAATAAATTAAGCAAAGGAGAGTAAGAAAGATAATGAAATATAGCTGTAATGAATATTTGTTTATAAAAATTAAATGCAATAAATTTATTTATCAGCATAAATAAGAGTTTGATCTAACTTGTAAGAAAAATTGGTATATATTTTAAAACCTAGTTAAAGCTAAATTTGGACTGTTACAAATATTTTAAAATTCTGTGCAAAATTTATTTTTATTTAAAACTACTACTAAAAATCGTTACTTTTTGATAAAAAAAAACAGAAAAATGCATAAATCGTGTGTTAGGATAGTTCACCGGACCCAAAAAACAGGATATACAAGGATAAAAAATACCCAAATTTAGACGAGTTAAAAAAATGGTATTTCTGCCGAATAATAATAATAATAATAATTATTATTATTATTATTAATGCTAAAACAGATGTTAGCTGATTAGCTGATTGGGATAGAAATCAAGCGCCGAGTTTGTCTTTGCAGCGGAAAGCTGAGCAATTCCAACAGGAATTATACAGAATATCAGAAGATGTAGAAAACACAACAGTCGGAAGATCCGACATAAGAGAAATTTTAAACAAAAACCTAATTAAATCCTGGGAAAAGAAACCTTTGCATGGCCAACACAAGAGAAATAAAAAACAGTCAGATAATATTGATGGCTGCAATAGCTGGAAGTGGCTCTCAACTGGAATGCTTAAAGGTGAAACCGAGGCATTGATAGTTGCTGCACAAGACCAAGCAATAAGAACTAACTATATAAAAACAAAGATTGATAAAACGTCAACTAACCCAAAATGTCGTCTCTGTAGAGAACATAATGAAACGATAGAACACGTAATATCGGGATGCACGATTCTAGCAGGAAGAGAATATTTAAATCGTCATAACAGAGTAGCTTCCCAATTGCACTATAACATCTGTAAGTGGCTTAATATAACAATGTCGGCTGAACAATGGTATAAACACGACCCACCACCTGTATGTGACACTCCCGATGGAAAAACAAGGGTACTTTGGGACTATTCAATTAACACAGACAGGACGATACCAAACAACAAACCAGACATCATAATAAGAATGACAGATATAACTTACCTCATTGATATTGTCGCGACCCCGTTTTAGAGGGTTGCGGCTAGGGACGTTTTAGGTATCGAAGATCATTAAAACAATCAATATATATAAAAACAAAATATAAATTTATTAAAGAATTAAATACATTAATTTAGGTAGGAAAAAGTCAAGCAGAATACCTTTTGACCAATAAAATATACTTAGAGAAAATATATAAAAATATAAACTTACTTTACTGTCATTATGATACTTGAGAACTCAACTCAACTGAACAGCATGACTTCTTCATCTGTTCTCCTGAGAAAGCCCTCGACTCCCCCTCTGATTTACTTTTTTAATTATTCTCCCATATTGATATTTACAACAATAAGAATTAAACAAAGTTCACCTTCAGATCTTAGTCTGACGTCAACTTGTTCTAGTTTAATTCTTATTGTGCAAATATTATGCTTATTAAAATATATTCCATTTAATATATTGGGTGATTTATTTTAATGATAAATCTAAAATTCTTGCTCTTGACAATATTGCAGTTCCGGCTGATGGAAATGTATGCAGAAAAGAAGCGGAAAAAGTTGTGAAATATCGAGACCTAGAAATAGAAATTAAAAGAATGTGGAATACCCAAACAAAAATATTACCTGTTGTTATTGGTGCTACTGGTGTAGTGTCTAAGGCTCTCCCAAAATATTTAGATATCCTTCCAGGAGAACACAGCTTGGCAAATCTACAAAAAACAGCGATATTAGGCACTGCTCATATTATAAGAAAAACAATTGCAGATTAATTTAATTTATACTTACCTTTATGTGTATTTCTTTACCTCTGTATCAATATTTCACAAAATAAGTATTACTTGATCGACTACCTGCCTGGCCCTAGGAAAGCGGAGCTATCCCGGCCAGAACAGGATAACAGCCAGTTAAAACTGAGAAAGAAATAATAAATAAATAATAATAATAATAATAAGAGCCTTGGTACAAACAACAGAACCGTAAAAGAACGACTTGAAAAAGTATATATTAAGCGCTTAAGATCGGCCCTAGATAACGAGTTATGTGCAAAATTTAAAATCGAGACTGTCAACACAATTGCAGTCCCAGTTCTAAGATATAGTTTTGGAATAGTAAACTGGAGCAAGTATGAAATGCAGGCACTTGATCGGAAAACAAGAAAACTGCTAAGAAAGTTTAACCTACATCATCCTGCAGCTGATATCGATAGGCTATACGTATCAAGGTTAGAAGGAGGGAGAGGACTAATTCAACTAGAATCACTACTAAAGAGCAGCGTAATTGCGACAGCAAATTATTTAAAATCAGATTCTGGAGACCCGCTAAAACAGATGCTAGCTGATTGGGATAGAAATCAAGCGCCGAGTTTGTCTTTGCAGCGGAAAGCTGAGCAATTCCAACAGGAATTATACAGAATATCAGAAGATGTAGAAAACACAACAGTCGGAAGATCCGACATAAGAGAAATTTTAAACAAAAACCTAATTAAATCCTGGGAAAAGAAACCTTTGCATGGCCAACACAAGAGAGAAATAAAAAAACAGTCAGATAATATTGATGGCTGCAATAGCTGGAACTGGCTCTCAACTGGAATGCTTAAAGGTGAAACCGAGGCATTGATAGTTGCTGCACAAGACCAAGCAATAAGAACTAACTATATAAAAACAAAGATTGATAAAACGTCAACTAACCCAAAATGTCGTCTCTGTAGAGAACATAATGAAACGATAGAACACGTAATATCGGGATGCACGATTCTAGCAGGAAGAGAATATTTAAACCGTCATAACAGAGTAGCTTCCCAATTGCATTATAACATCTGTAAGTGGCTTAATATAACCATGTCGGCTGAACAATGGTATAAACACGACCCACCACCCGTATGTGACACTCCCGATGGAAAAACACGGGTACTTTGGGACTATTCAATTAACACAGACAGGACGATACCAAACAACAAACCAGACATCATAATAAGAATGCCAGATATAACTTACCTCATTGATATTGCAGTTCCGGCTGATGGAAATGTATGCAGAAAAGAAGCGGAAAAAGTTGTGAAATATCGAGACCTAGAAATAGAAATTAAAAGAATGTGGAATACCCAAACAAAAATATTACCTGTTGTTATTGGTGCTACTGGTGTAGTGTCTAAGGCTCTCCCAAAATATTTAGATATCCTTCCAGGAGAACACAGCTTGGCAAATCTACAAAAAACAGCGATATTAGGCACTGCTCATATTATAAGAAAAACAATTGCAGATTAATTTAATTTATACTTACCTTTATGTGTATTTCTTTACCTCTGTATCAATATTTCACAAAATAAGTATTACTTGATCGACTACCTGCCTGGCCCTAGGAAAGCGGAGCTATCCCGGCCAGAACAGGATAACAGCCAGTTAAAACTGAGAAAGAAATAATAAATAATAATAATAAAAAAAAAACATAGCCCGTTTGGGGCTCGGGCTAAAAGAATAACCCCAAGGAATCTCCTGCCCGTCGTAAAAGGCGACTATGTGGAGCAGCTGTCCGCTGTCCTTCGACACTTTTCCTATACATCACGTCTATCCCTATATCCAACCCTTGTTTTCCTAGTTTTCCTTTTCCAAATTATCCTTCTGCCGTCTGACACCCGGCTTCGAGTAGGTTCAGAGCAAGCCCCGCTTGGCGTAAAAGGCGACTAAAGGGGTCCCCATTTCAAATATGATGGAGAATCAAAATATAGCCTCGGATGAAATTTATAGTGAACGGAATTTAGGCAGAGGGTTCCGGGAACTAGAGCTACAGTCTCCCGAAGCCAGGAATGGAGCGAGTGGCATTCCGGCCCGTAGAGCTACCACAATGACCCATCAGGATCCCACAACAACAGAGAGCCCCACCCCTGAAAGCTCTACTAGTTTGCAAACCAGTCAAGGAGTTGCTGCTGGTAGAAAAACAACTAGAAAGAGAAAGAAAATAAATTGGAGCAAAGAAATGAATTGTAACGTAGTAAAAGCATTTCTATTCGTTAACGAATGTAGAGATGACCCACTTCCGGGGTGGAGACAAAAATTACACATGGAATTTAAACAACGGCATTCAGAACTTGAGCTCACGGAACAAAACCTAGCAGATCGACTGAGATTGATATATAGGAAGCAAATGGTAGCACTAGCTGAAATAGATGAAATCAGACGTAGCGTTGGAAGAGAAATCCACAACTCAGAGGAAGGTGAAAGCTCAGTTGTGTTAGCTGTACATGAAAGTGACACACCACATGAAACTTGCCAGACAAATGATACACCACATGAATCTTGCCAGACTGAAGCAGAAGAAAATAGAGCAGCAGCTGCATGCAAATTGAAAGAAAATTACCAGCTATTTGAAGATATCAACCCCTTATGTAGACTATACCTTCCAAAACTAAACATCAAGAAAGAAACCTTTAAAATCATAGAAGTAGTGAATGATGCTCTAGAAAAATTGTGGCTAGTGTTGACGACCTTGGTGAACTACATCGAGCCATATACGCTGCAGCCATCACGGTCCTTGAAATAAACCAACAACAACCCTACACTACAGAACTAACAAAAAAATCTAAAATACAGAAGCAACCTGCTTGGAAGAATAGACTACTATCCCAAATAGACAAATTAAGAGCAAAGGCGGACGTGATACATGAATACATCAACGGAAATACAAGCAGAAAAGTAAGGCATAAGATAGAGGATATTCTTAAAACGATCAAGCTCGAGAAATCTGACCCAGAATTCAACCGAAAACTTACATGCTTTAGAGATGAGCTTAGACAAAAATTTAAAGTGAAAGGGGCTAGACTAAAACGATACAATAAAACAACTAAACGAAAGGAACAGAATCGAGAATTTCAAAAAAACCAGAAGAAATTCTATCAAACACTGGAAAACCATAACAAAGAAGAAGTAACTGTGGAAAATGCTAATAAAGAGGAGTTTCTTAAATACTGGAGCAGTATGTGGTCAAAGCCTGCAGAATATAATAAAAAAGCTGCCTGGGTGCAATGGGAACAAGATAAAGCCAAAAACATCATAGAAATGACTAGTGTACCTATCACAGAAGAGGACATCAAATATGCCATAAAAAAGCTCAAGAATTGGAAAGCGGCAGGCCCGGACAATATACATAACTTTTGGATGAAACACTTTAAATGTCTACCTCTCGTGATTGTCCGATGTTTTGAACAAGCTCTTCAGAACCCCCAGGAATTCCCGAAATATCTTGCTACATTGCTACATACCTATTTACTATATAAGGGAGGAAACCAAAATGACCCTCAAAACTTCAGGCCAATTACGTGTTTGTCAGTTGTATACAAATTGTTTACATCGGTGATATACTCAAAAATTTATTTTATAATTATAACACTGTGCAGCCCAAAACATAGTAGCTCCTGAACAGAAAGGTTGCATACGCCGATCACTTGGCTGTAAAGAGCAGCTCACCGTGGATACTGTTGTTACGAGACAGGCTGTAGTAAAGAAAAGGAACCTTAGTACAGGGACATCATTTTAAGCGTCTCACTCGATTTATAATTTTCCTGTTTGGTATTTAAAGATAGTAGAAAGATTTTCTAAAGTAATTTTTTGCGAGGATGCCGATTCTCTACACCAAAATTTTTTAAAACGTCAATTTTGACAGATACGACGCCATCTTGATTTTTTTTAAATGAAAACCCCCACATATTTTAGCATGGTCCGGTAGACATATTTTAGCTAATTTCAAATATATATAGTTTAGTATACTTTGCTCTTACCGTTTTCGATATACAGTGGATTTAAAAATGAATTGTTCCAGAATCATTTTAAGTGTCTCACCCAATTTGAAATTTTCCTCTTTCCTATTTTAAGATAGTAAAAAGATATTGTCATGTAATTTTTCGCAAGGATGCCGATTTTCTACACCACAATTTTTTAAATCGTCAATTTTGACAGATACGACGCCATCTTGATTTTTTTTTAATGGAAACCCCCACTTATTTTAGCATGGTCCGGTAGACATATTTTAGCTAATTTCAAAAATATATAGTTTAGTATACTTTGCACTTACCGTTTTCGATATACAGTGGATTTAAAAATGAATTGTTCCAGAATCATTTTAAGTGTCTCACCCAATTTAAAATTTTCCTCTTTCCTATTTTAAGATAGTAAAAAGATATTGTAATGTAATTTTTCGCGAGGATGCCGATTTTCTACACCACAATTTTTTAAATCGTCAATTTTGACAGATACGACGCCATCTTGATTTTTTTTAAATGGAAACCCCCACTTATTTTAGCATGGTCCGGTAGACATATTTTAGCTAATTTCAAAAATATATAGTTTATTATACTTTGCACTTACCGTTTTCGATATACAGTGGATTTAAAAATGAATTGTTCCAGAATCATTTTAAGTGTCACCCAATTTAAAATTTTCCTCTTTCCTATTTTAAGATAGTAAAAAGATATTGTAATGTAATTTTTCGCGAGGATGCCGATTTTCTACACCACAATTTTTTAAATCGTCAATTTTGACAGATACGACGCCATCTTGATTTTTTTTAAAAGGAAACCCCCACTTATTTTGACATGGTCCGGTAGACATATTTTAGCTAATTTCAAAAATATATAGTTTATTATACTTTGCACTTACCGTTTTCGATATACAGTGGATTTAAAAATGAATTGTTCCAGAATCATTTTAAGTGTCTCACCCAATTTAAAATTTTCCTCTTTTCTATTTTAAGATAGTAAAAAGATATTTTAATGTAATTTTTCGCGAGGATGCCGATTTTCTACATTAAAATTTTTACAACGTCAATTTTGACAGATACGACGCCATCTTGATTTTTTTTAAATGGAAACCCCCACTTATTATTTTAGCATGGTCCGGTAGACATATTTTTAGCTAATTTCAAAAAATATATAGTTTAGTATACTTTGCACTTACTGTTTTCGATATACAGTGGATTTTAAAATGAATTGTTCCAGAATCATTTTAAGTGTCTCACCCAATTTAAAAATTTTCCTCTTTTTCTATTTTAAGATAGTAAAAGATATTTTAATGTAATATTTCGCGAGGATGCCGATTTTTACACCAAAATTTTTAAATCGTCAATTTTGACAGATACGACGCCATCTTGATTTTTTTTAAATGGAAACCCCCACTTATTTTAGCATGGTCCGGTAGACATATTTAGCTAATTTCAAAAATATATGGTTTAGTATACTTTGCACTTACCGTTTTCGATATACAGTGGATTTAAAAATGAATTGTTCCAGAATCATTTTAAGTGTCTCACCCAATTTAAAATTTTCCTCTTTCCTATTTTAAGATAGTAAAAAGATATTTTAATGTAATTTTTCGCGAGGATGCTGATTTTCTACCCCAAAATTTTTTAAATCGTCAATTTTGACAGATACGACGCCATCTTGATTTTTTTTTAAATAGAAACCACATCAAATTTTAACACTGCCCGGTAGACAAATTTTAGCTAATTTCAAAAATATATAGTTTAGTATACTTTGCATTTACCGTTTTCTATGTACAGGGGGTTGAAATCAAGAATTCCTCTAATTTTTATGTATTTGAATATGAATGCCATTCACTTACAACTGAGTGGTATTTGTATCCAAATGCATGAAATTTACGTAAATTGAGCTATCTTATGATAAATGACTAGCAGTTTAAAACTAAATTTTCATTTTTTTTATATATACAGGGTGGTCCGAACTGTATTCCGGAAACTTCGGCAGCATACACTGCAGATAAAAATAAGTAAAAAAGTTCGTATAAATATATGTCCTACAATACTTAGTTTCGGAGATACAGGGTGTAGAAGTTTCATTTTCATTTCGATTTTTTCGAATTAATTTCTGAAGTAACGTCAACATTTGGCTGAAAATTCGTATCTGGGAGTCTTGGAGTTGACATGAGAAACTTGATTCTGATGTCAATATGACTCTTATTTGTAGGGGGCGCCACCTACATGTGTTTTAACTGTTTTGAAAAGTAATAACTTTTCGCCCATACCTGTATAAAACTACTGAGTAAAAAAATATACATTTTCTTGACTTTTTTTTAGTTTTACCTTTTTTGATCTTAAAAAGAACTTTTTAAAATTAGTAATTAGTAACGATTTAGTTAGTTCGCAATCGATAGCTTCCTGTAAAGTACTATATAATAGTTGTTTAATCTTGTATTATTAATAACTTCCTATACCTAAAATCAATATTTAATGAGAAAATTGTGTTTTTTTGAAAATATAAGACAAGATTTGACTTTCGGTCTTCTTCTTGTATTATGATGGCTCTGATACGAGGCAATTACCTTTTAGTCTCTCAATCTCATTAAATCATTAAAAGTATCAAATCTGTGTGCTACAGTATGGGATTTCTGTCTCATAATAATGAATATTACGTTTATTTACAAATCCATTACTTTTAAAGGTAGCTTCATCAGACAATCAAATTTTAGTTAAATGTCCCAATCTTCATGAACTGTATTAAGCATATGTATTGCGGTTTGAATCGCCCCGAGAATCACCCTGTATGTTGACAAAAATATTTTGAAAATATGCGTTACAATGGCCCCCATCTTATGTAAAAATTTGAAATAAAAATTACAAACCTAAAACGTAATAGGTAAAAAGCTTTTTTGGAGGCCTGGGTCACTCTGTATATAAGTATGTATACAACTAGTAGCCTAAGAATTATTTACAGTTCGTCCCATTCTAAAACAAGAACACACCATTACACACATAATAACTCTAGGAAGAGGTATTTGTACTTTGGTGGTAAAAATATTTTAAACGAGGCCGAAGGGGCAGATATAATAATACAATAAAATGTAAAAAAGGGCGAGTAAACACCTTTGTTTATTTGTTGAGCAAAATTCCTTTAGAATATCGTATATAATGACCAAAATATGACGCAATTTTAAAAAAAAAAATGTCACTTTCTGACTTCAACGTTTATATTCAAATTTGTTATGATCTACAACAGTTAAGTAGTAATTGAGACAAATTATAATTCAATTACCGGCTACTACGTTCTTGTTTTAATAGCTCAAAATTAAATTAAATATAATTAGAAATTATTTTAATTGTGAGAGGCTCCCTTGTGGGACGCCTATGTACGGCGATTACGGCGCGGCGGAAACAATACCTACCTGTGAAAAGACAAATTCGGGTAATTTGAGCTTATTTTTTCACACATTTGACACTGTCGTACCATATTGAAAATTCGCAGATTCAAAAGTACGTTAAACAAAAGCAAAAACTACTGAAAAACACTGAAAAGTTCACTTCGGACTTGATTCCGACTTCAAACACACCGTAAACTAAACGTAGTACGCTATAACGGACCAAGGGCCGTCGCGAGGGGTGGTGGGACGGTCGGCTCATTTCATTCTGGAAGACTAGCAGCGACGTTGCCAATAGTTCTAGACGTTTCAGCACATTAAACAGTAAACATGTCCTTTAATAGTAACGCATATATCCTCTGGTTAATAACATATTATTACGCATGCTTCTTTAAAAATAAACTATTAATTTAATTAAGAAATTGAGATTTATTGATATCCGGTTAAGGTTTTAAAGTCACCTTTTCTGCAAATCAAACTAAGTAGATAGGCGCAAATTTGAGATGTGGCAATGTCGCCTTCTCTATCTCAGTTGGTTTTTACAGTACGTAGTCAACCTCCGATTGTTTGATCGAGTTAAAATGCAAAATGTGATATCTGTTCTTCCTAAATCTATGTACGGTACCTATTACATAGGGCTATTGCAACAGTAAATTTTTATCAAAGCGACCTCAGGATATTTTCTCTTATATTTTATTCTGTATGGTAAAATTTTGTTTTTCTATCCATCCTATAAAAATAAAACAAAACGGAATCTGTAACAGGTCGCTTTACTTTTTGACTATACACAATTTATCTAAAAATGATTCGAAAAACTTTACCTGGGGAAGTCTTCTGATGATACATGGTCCCTCTAAATCATCATATCAATCAACAATAAGTCACTGCCCACTTTTTAGTTATTTACTTAATATGTACAATAATCAGTAAAAAGAGTAATTAAACATGGAATTCACATTAAAAAACGTAGACAAAACACTGTAATAACCGGCAGAATTAATTCAAACTCTGATTCAAACTAAGCCAAATTCCCAAATAATGCAATTCTGCATTTTCAGCCTGTCGCCTAAAATCTCTAGGGCTGATCGGGAAGTGATACATATTTTTAACGAACGGCTTTTAAGGTTCATATTTACATTTGAGGCTCGCCTCAATACGGTCTTTTTACGCGCTACTACTCCATACATTTTATCTCTCTCTTCAACTAAAGGTTTTACCTATGCTTTTTCTTTTCATTCTATAGAGTTAAGATTCCAGTGAACGCTGTCGCTCCATCAGTGCGATATACCACAATATGCTAGACAAGGAAAAGCGAGAGGCAAACCTCTGCACATATACTTCTTAAAGAACAAATGAGATGGATATACATTGTCGAGTTTGTCGCATATGGGA